AAACCCCTGAGCCACCCAGGCTGCCCACAAGATCTTTTAAACCACAGCCAAATGAAAAACTGCATGAAAACCAAGAGTATTGTTGAGAATCTTGTCCACTATGAGGCTCAGTCAGTGAATTTTCTCTCATATCCCAGTTCCAAAAATTATGAAAACATTGAACTGATTTTTTTTCTCATCTTTTGGCTGCAATCATGTAAGCAGTTGTTTTCCGTTCTTTGCTTCTGTTGCTAACAAGGTAGAAGTCAAATCTATAACCCTTCCTCTTGCAAGTGTGTAGGACTGATGGCATACATTTTGTATACTAGCTAAATCCCTGTTTCAACTTTATTTTACTTATTCATTCATTCATTTCATTTTTATTATTTATTTATTATTTTTCAGTGTGGGGCTTGAACTCATGACCCCAAGATCAAGTTACACACCTACCAACTAAGCTGGACAGACACCCCTTATTCATTCATTCATTCATTCATTCATTCATTTGTTTTTAAAAAAGATTTTATTTATTCATGAGAGACACAGACAGGCAGAGACAGGCAGAGGGAGAAGCAGACTCCCTGTGGGGAGCCCGATACAGGACTTGGTCCCAGGACCTTGGGATCACGAACTGAGCCAAAGGTAGATGCTCAACCACTGAACCACCCGGGTGTCCCTTATTCATTTATTTTTAGTAAGCTGTAGGCCCAGCCTGGGGCTTGAACTCATGACCGTGAGAGCAAGAGCCACACACTCTATCAACTAAGCAAGCCAGGCATCCCTGTTTCAACTGACTTTTAAAAAATTTTGAGGTTGGGCAGCCCCGGTGGCACAGCGGTTTGGCGCCGCCTGCAGCCTGGGGTGTGATCCTGGAGACCCGGGATCGAGTCCCACATCGGGCTCCCTGCATGGAGCCTGAGCCTGCTTCTCCCTCTGCCTGTGTTTCTGCCTCTCTCTCTCTCTCTGTGTCTATGGATAAATAAATAAAATCTTTAAAAAAATTTTTTTGAGGTTATAATTTATATATAATACTTCTACTTCACACTCCACAGGCAACCTTCATAATGATTTCTCTATACCTGTTCTTACACCTGCCTTCTGTATACCTTTCTTTACCTGTTCTAGAATTTTTTTTTAAGATTTATTTATTTATTCATGAGAGACACAGACTGAGAGAGAGAGGCAGTGACATAGGCAGAGGGAGAAGCAGGCTCCTCACAGGAATCCTGATGCGGGACTCGATCCCAGATGCCGGAATCACAACCTGAGCCGAAGGCAGGCGCCCAACCACTGAGCCACCCAGGCATCCCTGTTCTAGAATTTTATGTACACAGAATCACGATGTACTCTTTTGTGTTTTCTTTCATACAGATGAATGTTTTTCAGATTTAGCCATTTCATGCATGTATCAACAGTTAATTCATTTTTATTGTGTAGTATTTCATTGTATCAATTTGTTAATCCATTCGGCTGTTAATGGACAATTGAATTGTTTCCAGGTTTGGCTACTATGAATAATGCTGTTTGTGAACATTGTTTCTTCATTTTCTTTTCTTTTCTTTTCTTTTCTTTTCTTTTCTTTTCTTTTCTTTTCTTTCTTTCTTTCTTTCTTTCTTTCTTTCTTTCTTTCTTTCTTTCTTTCTTTCTTTCTTTCTTTCTTTCTTTCAGATTTTATTCATTTATTCTCTACACACACAGAGAGAGGCAGAGACACAGGCAGAGGGAGAAGCAGGCTCCATGCAGGAAGCCAGACGTGGGACTCATTCCCGGTCTCCAGGATCACACCCTGGGCCAAAGGTGGTGCTAAACTGCTGAGCCCCCGAGGTTGCCCTCTTTTTCTTTTTTTTTTTTTTAAGATTTTATTGACCTATTCATGAGAGACATACAGAGAGAGAGAGAGAGAGAGAGAGAAAGAGAGAGAGAGGGGCTCCATGCAGGGAGCCCGACATGGGACTTGATCCTGAGTCTTCAGGATCAGGCCCTGGGCTGAAGGCAGCACTAAACTGCTGAACCACCCAGGCTGCCCTCTTTCTTTTTTAAAAAAATTATTTTCATTTTCTTGAATAAATACCAGAAGTTGAATTGCTGGGTCAGAAGAAAAGTAATTGATGGACTTTTTAAGAAATGGCCAAGGGCACCTGGCTGGCTTAGTTGGTAGAACATGTGATTCTTGATATTGGGATCATGAATTTGATCGAGGCCCACGTAGGGTGTAGAAATTACTTTAAAAAGGCTGGGGCCGCCTGAGTGACTCAGTCAGTTAAGCATCTACCTTGGGCTTAGGGTCCTGGGATTGAGCCCCACATTGAGCTCCCTGCTCAGTGGGGAGTCTGCTTCTCTCTTTCCATCTGCCCTTCCCTCATGGGCTCATGCTCTCTCTCTCATTTACTCTCTCTCAAATGAAGAAATAAAATCTTAAAAAAAAAAAAAAAGGCCAAACCTTTTTTTCCAAATGGTTTTACTCTGTTCTAGCATGGTATGAGAGTTTCCATTGCTTCATTTTCTTTATGGTCTTTTCTAGAATTTCATCGAGCATTTAGTCTTTTGCATCTGGCTTTTTCAGTTAGCATAATGATTATGAGATTCATCCATGTTATGTTTATCAGTAGTTTGTTTGTTAAGATTTTTATTTATTTATTTGAGAGAGAGAGAGAGAACAGGGGAGCAGGGGGATGGGCAGAGGGAGAGGAACTAGCAGACTCTGTGCTGAGCATGGAGCCAGACATGGGCTCCATCCCACAACCCTGAGATCATGACCTGAGCCAAAATCAGGAGTTGGACACTTAACCCACTGAGCTACCCAGGCACCTCTATTTGTTTTTCACAGGCCCTACCTCTACCCCTCAGTAGTTTTTCTTTGGAGCACTTGAGGAATAATGTACCACGTGCATAGATCAGATTGCTTATACATTTACCATTTATTGGGCTATGGTTGGGCCATGGTTGACTGTTCTGTATAAAGTTATCAACATTCACATGAAGATCTTTGTGCTGACATAGGTTTTTTGTTTTTCTCTTGGGAAATTTCTACAAGTAGGACTGCGAGTGGTGTATTAAGTATATTTTAGCTTTGTAAGAAACTGCCAAAGTGTTTACACAATTTTACATTCCCACCCACTCCTGTTGCTCCATGTCCTTAACAAAACTTGGTCTTGTCAGTCTTTTTCATGTCGGCCATTCTTTTTTTTTTTTTTTTTTTTGAAGATTTTATTTATTTATTCATGAGAGACACAGAGAGAGAGGCAGAGGGAGAAGCAGGCTTCATGCAGGGAGCCTGATGTGGGACTCGATCCTGGGCCTCCAGGATCCCGCCCTGGGCCAAAGGTAGGTGTTAAACCGCTGAGCCACCCAGGGATCCCCCTCATGTCAGCCATTCTAACAGGTATGTGGGACATCACAGTGGTTTTGATTCACATTTTCATAATGCTAACTTTAAAAATAGTTATTTTACCAGCAAAAATGGGTGTATTCAGGAATAATAGAGAATTGCAATCCAGGACACACAGGCTACAGCAAAACCATGGCAAGTCCAATAAACCAAGGAGAGGAATGTTATGTTATAGAGAAGGAGGAAGTTTGAAGGGGCTGGTGTTTGTTTGTTTTAGAGATTTTATTTATTTACTTTTGTCAGAACAAACACAAGGCAGGGTGAGGGGCAGAGAGCAGGAGAAGCAGAGTACCTCCCCACTGAGCTGAGAGTCTGATGCAGGACTCAATCCTAAAATCCTGGGATCATGAGCTAAGCTCAAGGGAGATGCTTAACCAGCTGAGCCACCCGGCAAGAAGGGGCTGTTTTGAGAAAAGCAAGGGTTCAGGGTGACAAGTTTCTCATTGGCTAAGTTAAAAGGGTAGTTGATTTCATTTATTTATTTATTTATTTATTTATTGGATAGTTGATTTCTTATAGGGGAGGCAATGTACATCTTTCCCAGTTAGGGCCTGCAACCTATGATTCTTTCCTCTTGACATTCTTCTGCTGGGGTCTGTAACTGACAGCTGTTCCTGTAATTGGTTTTGAGTGTCAGGCTCTTCTTCCAGCCTCCTCTTCTAGCCTCCAGGTCCACTTTAGTGAGATTTCCCTTTATTAATTTTCACAGTAATTACTAGCAATGTTTACTATCTTTTCATGTGCTTATTAGTCAGTTTTATACCTTCATTTATGAAATGTCCAAGTCTTTGGCCCATTTTTATAAATTGGATTAAAAAATAAATTGGGTTGATCTTTTTTTTAGTTTTAGGAGGGTTGTTTTTTTTTGGGGGGGTTGCTTTTTTTAGGATTGATTTACTAGAGAGAGATTGAGAAAGAGAGAGAGCATGAGTTGGGGGAGGGGCAGAGGGAGAGAATCTTCAACTGAGCAGAGAGCCTGACGCAAGGCCCAATCCCGTGACCCATGAGGTGATGACCTGACCTGAAACCAAGAGTCCGATGCTTAACTGACTGAGCTACCCAAGCGCCCCAGAGTTTTAGGAGTTTTTAAAAAATAAATCTGATTATAAGTCCTTGTCATTCATATATATATATATACATATATATATATATATATATATATAGTGAATATTTTCTTCCTCTGTAAGATTTGCCTTTTCATTTTTTTTGATTAGAGAATTTTGATTTTGATGAAGTTCAATTTATCAGCTTTTTCTTTTATTATTGTTTTTTGTGTTCTATGTAATTGTTGCCTATCCTAAGGATGCAAAGATATTCTCTTGTGTTGGCTTCTAAAAATTGTACGGTTTTATTTATTTTTTATTTTTATTTTTTATAGTCTTATGGTTTTATTTTTTATTTTATTTTTTTATTTTTTTATTATTTTTATAAATTTTTTTTTATTTATTCATGATAGTCACAGAGAGAGAGAGAGAGAGAGAGAGAGGCAGAGACATAGGCAGAGGGAGAAGCAGGCTCCATGCACCGGGAGCCCGACGTGGGATTCGATCCCGGGTCTCCAGGATTGCGCCCTGGGCCAAAGGCAGGCGCCAAACCACTGCGCCACCCAGGGATCCCCAGTCTTATGGTTTTATTAACGCAAATATGACCCGCACATTAGCTGTCTATTCAATTCTTCGCTGCGCAGCCTGGCATTGGGATTGGTGACTCTGATGGCCCAATGGGCTGCTCTTTCCACAGTGGCTTTGTGGTTCTTGGAGGATACATTGTGAGCAATCTCTGCACAGTAAGATTTGTTGCACATCAGCAGTCCTTCAAGCTCCTTGATGTGGTGGACTAGGAAATTCCTGAAGCCACTGGGCAGCATGTGCTTTGTCTTCTTGTTGCTTCTGTAACCATTGTTGGGCATCAAGATCTGGCCCTTGAATCTTCTGCACAGCCTATTGTCAATGCCTCTGGGTTTCTGCCAATTGTACTTAATTTTGACGTATCCGTCTGACTGGTGCCAGATGAACTTCTTGGTCCTCTTTTTAACGATCTTGAGCTTCACCAGAGGTCTGAGGGCAGCCATGATGCTAGTAATAGATGGCTCAAAACTGTATGGTTTGAGATATTTTATTTATTTATTTATTTATTTATTTATTTATTTATTTATTTATTTATTTTTTATTTATTTATTTATTTATTTATTTATTTATTTATTTATTTATTTATGATAGAGGGAGAGAGAGAGAGAGAGAGAGAGAAATTGAAAGAGAGGCAGAGACAACAGGAGGAGGGAGAAGCAGGCTCCATGCGGGAGCCCAATGTGGGACTTGATCCCGGGACTCCAGGCCCTCCTTTGGGCCAAAGGCAGGCGCCAAACCGCTGAGTCACCCAGGGATCCCCGTGATATTACATTTAGATATATGATCTATCTCAAAATAATTTTTATATTTGGTATAAGATAGGGTTCAAGGTTAATTTTTTTTTTTAAGATTTATTTAGTTATTCAGTCAGAGAGAGCGAGAGAGAGGCAGAGACAGAAGGAGGCTCCATGCAGGAAGCCCGACTGGATCCCGGATCTCCAGGATCACACCCCAGGCTGCAGGCAGCGCTAAACCAATGCGCCACCAGGGCTGCCCAAGGTTAATTCTTTATAATGTAAATATCCAGTCGTTCTAGCACTATATATTGAAACAAATGTTCTTTCTTCATTGAATTATTTTTATGCTTATTGAAAATCAACTGTACATGTGAGAATTTATTTTTGACCTCTTTCTTTTCCATTGATTTGCCTTTACATCAATACTACACTGTCTTGAATATTTACCTTGTATCCTGCCACTTGGCTAAACTAATTTATCCTAGTAGCTTGAAGTCTGATGCAGGACTCAATCTTAAGACCTTGGACTTTCTTTCTTGTTTTTTAAAGATTTTTTTTTAAATCTATTCATGAGAGACACAGAGAGAGAGAGAGAGAGAGAGAGAGGCAGAGACACAGGCAGAGGGAGAAGCAGGCCCCATGCAGGGAGCCCAATGTGGGACTCGATCCTGCGACTCTAGGATCATGCCCTGGGTCGAAGGCAGGTGCCAAACTGCTGAGCCACCCAGGGACCCCCCCCCACTTTTTTTTTTAATTAATTTATTTATGATAGAGAGAGAGAGAGAGAGAGGCAGAGAGGCAGAGACATAGGCAGAGGGAGAAGCAGGCTCCATGCACCGGGAGCCCGATATGGGATTCGATCCCGGGTCTCCAGGATCGCGCCCTGGGCCAAAGGCAGGCGCCAAACCGCTGCGCCACCCAGGGATCCCCCCCCCCTTTTTTTAAAAGAGAGAGTGTGTGTGCTGTGTGCACAAGTGAGGGAGGGAGGAGGTGCAGAGGGAGAGAGAGAATCTAAAGCAGGCTCCACCTTCAATGCAGAGCCTGATGTGGGGCTTGATCTCATGACCCTGAGATCATGACCTGAGCCAAAATTAAGAGTTGGATATTAACTGACTGAGCCATCCAGGTGTCCCTATTCTTTAGGACTTTCTATTTATACAATCATGTAGTCTGTAAATAAGAACAGCTTTCCTTATTTATATCCAATCTTTATGCCTTTTATTTCTTTTTCTTACAGTACACTGGCTGGGACCATCACTACAATGTTGACTAGTATTTAGAGTGGACATCTTTGCATTGCTTCTAATCTTAGGGGGAAAGTAATCACTATTTTGCCAATAAGTATTATTTTTTAAAAATATTTTATTTTTTTATTTTTATTTTTTTTAAAGATTTTATTTATTTATTCATGAGAGACCTCCAGAGAGAGAGGCAGAGAAAGAAGCAGGCTCCACGCAGGGAGCCTGATGTGGGACTCGATCCCGGGTCTACAGGATCAGGCCATGGGCCAAAGGTGGCGCTAAACCGCTGAGCCACCCCGGGCTGCCCCTAAAGATTTTATTTAATTATTCATGAGAGACACACACAGAGGAAGAGACACAGGCGGAGGGAGAAGCAGGTTCCATGCAGGAAGCCCGATGTGGGATTCGATCCTAGGACTGGAATCATGCCCCAAGCCAAAGGCAGACCCTCAACCACTGAGCCACCCAGGCGTCCCAAGTATGATGTTGTTACTACAGATTCTTCATAGATGCTCTTTATTAATTTGAAGTAATTACCTACCATCTCTACTTTGCAAGGATTTTTATCTTGAATAGGTATTAAATTTTGTCAAATATTTTTTCTGTATTTATTGAAATGGTATCTGATTTTTCTCTTTTATTATATCACTGTAGTAGATTACATTAATTTTTCTTTTCTTCTCTTTTCTTTTTAAAATATTTTATTTTTAAGTAATCTCTATACCCAACATGGGGCTCAAACTCAAAACCCCAAGAGCAAGAGTTGTACAGTCTACCAACTGAGTCAGCCAGGCACCCCATGATTTTTCAAATGTTGAACCAATCTTGTGTTACTGGTATAAACTCCATATGGATATGATTATCATTTTTATATATTGCTGGTTTAATTTGCTTATATTTTGTTTTACAACTCAGTAACATTTTTCAATTCATGAATTTTTTGTCTATATTCATGAGTGATATTATCTGCAATCTTCTTTTTTATGTAGTAATGGACTTTGGTATCAGAGTTATACTGTTTCCTAAAACAGGTTAGGAAGTATTCCCTTTTCTTCTTTTTGAAGGAATTTATATAAAATTGGTGTTATATCTTCCTTAAGTATTTGGGTTAATTCACCAATGAAGTCATCTGGGGGCTTGGAGTTTTCTAGTGGAAATACTGTTAATTATGTTTCAATTTCTTTAATAGATAGTGGACTATTCATGTATGTTATATTTTTGTATGTTTTAGTAAATTATATTTTTAAGGAATTTGTCCATTTCATTGAAACTATTAAATATATTGACATAAAGTTGTTCATAATTTTATCTTATTATTCTATAGGTTCTGTAGTTATCAATTTTATTGGATGCTTATTCTATTTATATTTATTTTTTTTAATTTTTATTTATTTATGATAGTCAGAGAGAGAGAGAGAGAGAGAGAGAGAGAGAGAGAGAGAGAGAGGCAGAGACATAGGCAGAGGGAGAAGCAGGCTCCATGCACCGGGAGCCCGATGTGGGATTCGATCCCGGGTCTCCAGGATCGCGCCCTGGGCCAAAGGCAGGTGCTAAACCGCTGCGCCACCCAGGGATCCCTCTATTTATATATAATTAATGATAGATTGGTTTTAAGTCTGCCATCTTGATATTTATTTTCTCTTTGTCCCCTCTGTTCTTTGTTCCTTTATTGTTTTGGGTTAATTGAATATTTTTAAGTATTTCATTCCTTCTCTTCTATTGACTTTTTAACCAATTTTTGGATCATTTTTCAAGTGGTTACTTTAGTGATTACAGTGGGTATTCTTAATCTTTCACAGCTCACTATATTTGATAAAAACCTCTACAACAATTTCATTGTATTTACACCTCTACTATCCTTTGTATTATTGTCATTTATTTTACTTTTATAAATATTATAAACTTCACAATACATTACTATTGTTACCTTTAAAAAAAAAGATTTTTATTTTTAAGTAATCTCTGCACCCAACTTGGGGCTTGAACTCACAACCTTGAAGATCAAGAGTTAGTTGCATGCTCTACCAACTGAGCCAGCCAGGCACCCCTGTTGTTTTTACTTCAAACAGCCAGCTGACTTCTTAAAATAATTTAAGAAAAGAACAATTATATTTTATATTTACCCACATATTTGCCATTTTTAGTGTGTTTCTTTTCTTCCTATAGGTTTGCATTTTCATCTCTCCTCCAGCCTGAAGAATTTCCTTTAGCATTTCTTGGAGTAAGTGTCTGCTGGCTACAAATTATCCTAGCCTTTGCTTATCTGAAAATGTCTATTTCTTTTTTTTTTAAAGATTTTATTTATTTATTCATGAAAGAGACGTAGAGAGAGAGAGAGGCAGAGACACAGACAAAGGAAGAAGCAGGCTCCATGCAGGGAGCCCGATGTAGGACTCGATCCTGGGACCCCAGGATCACGCCCTGGGCTGAAGGCGGCGCTAAAACGCTGAGCCACCCAGGGATCCCAAGAAAATGTCTATTTCATTAAAAATTTCAATTGTGGTAAAATACACATAAGATTTACCATTAATTTATTTTTAAAATTTTTAAAAGATTTACCATCCTAAAGTGTATATTTCAGTGGCACTAAGTATGTTCACATTTTTGTGCAGCCATTGCCACCATCCATCTCCAAAACATTTTCATCTTCCCTATCTGAAACCCTGTCCTCATTAAACACAATCTCCCAATAGAATAGAGAGCTCAGGAAAATACCTCTTGGTCAAATGATTTTATTTATTTGTTTGTTTGTTTATTTTCTTATTTATGAGAGAGAAACCATGAGCAGGGGGAGGGGCAGAGGGAGCAGACTCTTCATTGAGCAGGAAGCCTGATTCAGGGCTCAATCCTGGGATCATGACCTGAGCCAAAGGCAGATGATTAACTGACTGAGCCACCCAGGCACCTAAATGAGTTTCAACAAGGGTACTAAGACCATTTAATGGGGGAAGGAGTCTTTTCAACAAGTAGGACTGAGAAAACTGGATTATTCACATGCAGAATTACCTTATATACAAAATTTAACACAAAATGGATCAAAGACTTAAGAGACCCAAGAGATAGAGCTATAAAGACCTAAGAGCTAAAACTACAAAACTCCTAGGGGCACCTGAGAGACTCAGTCAGTTGAGCATCCAACTCTTGGTTTTGGCTTGGGTCATGGTCTCAGGGTCATGAGATCAAGCCCAAATCTGCTTAGAACTGTTTCTCCTTCTTGGGATCCCTGGGTGGCGCAGCGGTTTAGCGCCTGCCTTTGGCCCAGGGCGCGATCCTGGAGACCCGGGATTGAGTCCCACGTTGGGCTCCCTGCATGGAGCCTGCTTCTCCCTCTGCCTATGTCTCTGCCTCTCTCTCTCACTGTGTGCCTATCATAAATAAAATAAAAAATAAAAAATAAAAAAAGAACTGTTTCTCCTTCTCCCTTTGCCCCCTCCCTTATATGCAGTCTCTCTCTCTCAAATAAAT